TTCAAATTGGCAATAATACCAGGATCCAAAAAACATCTCATTAATCTGAAATGATGAGCTAGACTTAATAATATGAAGGTTGCTGAGGAATAAGTGTGCTATTCTGTCTCAATCTAATCTGCCAGCCTCATATATACATATGAAAAGGGATGTGCTAGGTCTTCCATATTTGAGCAGAACTTTAACATTCCTTCATTCAATTGCTTAAAAATTATTTTTTAAACTCCTTATTTTTACTTCTTTGCTCAATGCTTGGGATTTCATGATGAGCAGATAAGATTTAATTTCTTTCCTCATGGGAACAATTAAATAAGAAATGAAAATAAAGGCTGACCCACACAATGATAGAATAAAAACAGTACCCTAGGAAATATATAATTTTAGCATTCAGGGAGGTTCATCTTAAGAAAGATGCATTAAAGCTAAAATCTACAGGATGAGAAGGAGTTGACTTACCAGGCAACAGGAAGAGAAAGAATGCTTCAGTAAGAGGGATCAGCATGTATAATGGCTTGGAAGTTAAAATGACATTAAAATACCGGATGGTCTCACTCATAGCAGGAATTTAGAAAACCTAAATAAGAGACCAGGAAAAGATTAATTATAATAAAGTAAAAATCAAAATCAACATGCAACTATAAACCAGAGACACACTACGGGGCTGGGGGTGGTGGTGAAGAGAAAGGAGTAGGATCAAAACAAGGGGGTGGGAATTGTATGGGGACTATAACCAAGATGAAAATGCATACATTGTGCAAAAATGAAAAAATGATTTAAAAAATATATAAAATAAAAAAAATTAAAAATGACATAAAACATTGAAGGCATGGGAGGAGGTTCATTAAGACTGTAATATATCTTTTTTGGATTGCTGAGTAATATTCCATTGTGTATATGTACCAACCACATCTTCTTGATCCAGTCATCTATTTTTGGGCATTTGGGTTGCTTCCATAGCTTAGCTATTGTAAATAGTACTGCTGTAAACATAGGGGTGCAGGTGCCCTTTGGAATTACTGTTTCTGTGTCATTTGGGTAAATACCTAGGAGTGGGATTGCTGGATAAACACATGCAGTTTGCAGCAACATGGATGGCGCTGGAAGGGATCATGCTCAGCGAAATAAGTCAGAAAGAAAAAGAAAAATACCGGATGGTCTCACTCATAGCAGGAATTTAGAAAACCTAAATAAGAGACCAGGAAAAAGACTAATTAATACAAAGTAAAAATCAAAATCAACAAGCAACTATAAACCAGAGACACACTACCAGGGGAAGGGGGGGATAAGGGGGGGAAAGGAAAGACTAGAGTCAAAATAAGGGGGGGGGTGCAATTGTATGGGGAATATAGCCAAAATGAAAATGCATACATTGTGCAAAGAAGAAAAAAGATGTAAGAATTATATAAAATAAAATATTTAAATAAAAAAAAGACTGTAATATACAGGGTGGAGGATATGATGAGAGGGAGAATTGGGGTAGATCTGGAAGAATTCTGCAAGTCATTTTAAAGTGCTTGAATTTTTGTGTTGGGTTTTTTTTTGTGGGATGGGAAACTGGAAAAAAGTAAAAAATAACTTGATAAGATTTTCATATTAGAAAGTCCTCACTTGCTTCTATGTAGAGGAGGGACAAGGCAGGAGGGAACACCAGTAAGTGGTGACCTGCCAGGAGGCTGATGCTGCCATTGTGGTGAGAGGTGCTGCTGGCCTCCACTAGTGACAGGGTGGGAAAATGCACAGATGGGGAATCAAGGACTTAGTGATGTTTTGCATGTAGGGGCAACAGAGGATTCAAAGGTAATATAGAACTTCTGTCCTGGGCACAACTAAGTGGATAGTGCAACCATTTCCTGGTTTGGGGAAACAGAGGAGAGGAGCATATGAGGGTGAAGGTGATATATTTTTGGACATATTGAGTTTGAAGTGATCAGTTGTCCAAGTGGTGATGTCCAGCAGGGAAGGCAGTTGGCTACAAATCTAGCTTCAAGAGAGATGTTTGGATTAATGTACAGATTTGGGAGTAAATGCAATAAGCAAGCACAAGTAGTAAATTCAGTCTTTGACTATATTCATATAAGTAGGGAGCCTAGAATAAGAGAAGTGATACTTCTGCCTCTAGAGTAGAAGATGGTACAGGAGCTAAGAACTCTGGCTCTGGTCCATGCTACTTCTGCTCGTGCAGGTTGTATGAGCCCAAGGGTAGTGACTTACGTTTCTATGTTTCAGCTTCTTAATTATAAATTAAGGATTATAAAACCAGTTATTGCATGGTATTTTGCAATTGTGGGATAAGATAATGAATATAAAGATGATGCATAGTAGTACCTGGTATATGTCTAGTAAGTGTTCAAGAAATAATTACTATTATTATTGAAGTTGTCACAACTGTGTTTTACTCATTGTTTGGGAAACTCACTTTAAGAGGGACAAGCAGACTGCACATTATTAATATGAGTGACTGAAACTGTGTCATGTGAGTAATGGGCAAAGAGCCAGGGGCTGTTTGACTTGGTACACAAGAGGTTTGAAATAGCACTTTTCAAATATGCAAAAAATATGCAAAAGAAGAAAAAGGAGATAGAGCTGCCCAGTGGGACTCCAGGGAATGGAAATAGCATGAACTGACAGGAATTTCAGGAAAACCAACCTCAGTTCAATATAATGGGAATTTCTTCAGCGTCAAAGTTCTCTAAAAATAGAGATTGTTTTCTTTTTGGAAGGAGGTACTTCCTCATCTCTAAATGAGAGATCTGATGATTGCAGTTGGAGGAGTCATACCTGTTACAAAAGGTGGGGTCAGATGTGCACTTCCTGACTGTTGATTTAGTGCTTAGTTTGAATAGGGTGTTTATTTAGGACTTGTCCTCAGCAGTTGCATTAAAATTATTACAATGTTCATTCTCATGCTTATTTTCTAACCATAAAAGGAATTTTTTTTTCACTCCACTGGTATGGCAAGAGCTGAGATATTTTGGATAGAAACCCCTCCTATTCCTAGGGCTGCATTCTCATATGTACACAACACAGTGTCATGTTAAAGGGTGCAGAACTATTCTGGAGTACTGCTGTGAGGTTTTCTTTTTGCTCTGATCCCTTTTACCCCCTGAACACATCATTATTCCTCCCTAGCTGAGCAGCCCTCCCCCCAGGGTGTAGCTTCAGGGAAGGCACAGTGATGTATAATAAATAAGAGGAGGTCAGGACTTTAAATCTCACCACCGTGGGTTTATTTTCTGATAGTAAAATGGAAGGAAAATAGAGTGAAACCACTATGATTTATGGGCTCCTTTCCTTTCGGAGGTTTTCCAGTTGCATCTTTGTGCTATGCTTGACATTTATGATATAAGGTATTAATATCTGGAAAGAAGAGCTGCTGGTGCTAATTATTCAGACTTGCTCTGACAATGAAGTGGGGAGCAACATTCATATGTCAGATCCCATCTCTGCATTAAGTCCTTCACTTAAAATAGGTGGGAATTATGAGGCACTATGGGCTTGCACTGTATAGATTTCACAGAAAGTCTATAGGATATATCAGTAAATCAAACACGATAGAGTTGCTGAAAAGCAAGCCAATAACTGTCTGATATATGAAATCCTCGAGAAAGTCTGCTTAAGAAATGTGCCAAAGACACTAAAATGATACAGGGAAGGGAAAATGCAAATGACAGGGCTAACTTTTCTTTGTTCAGAAAGGAAAATGTTTGCTCCCTCTTCTAATTCTTCAGGTTGTCGTATATACCTTGTTTCTAGTAGCTATTTGTAAAATTAATCATTTTAATAGTATCAAACAGACTGGAATTTTACACTTGATAAATTTTTGATGTTGAACCTTTGAAAAATACAGTGATGTGATTTCTTTTCCCTGAAGAGTTTCTCCTCAGAAGTCAGTGTTAATTTGCAGATGCCAACACATGACTAATGGTTTTATCTTAAAAGATTAATATACCTCAAACCAGCCTAGGGTATATGATTATATAGGCTTTTGTCATGAGCAAATCTGGGCTTTGTGATTCTGAAAGACATGTTTGCAGTTGTCTCCTCATGAGGGATGGTATTTGGTTAGTTACTTGGTCAGTCAACCTGGTAGACCCTGTTATTGCCTGTTCAAAAGTCAATCCTCTCTTTTTCCTTCTTAACGAACATTGATTTTCTTTAAGGAGAATTGTACTCAATCCTTGGTGTTGGGACTTGATGATCTAAGACAATTATCTAAATCACCTCTGCATGTGAGTGTTTTAGGGGTGAGGAGGTGACTTAATTCTGGTCAATGAAATGTAAGAGAAGTGGGGTTTGAATCGGTTGGAGGAGCAAGGGTTAGTGGCTTCCGGAAAAGAAATAATAGATCATCAGGTTAGTCCTCTGTGCCTCTGCTAATTTCCTTCCTGATTTTGGATGTTGTTGTGAGAAAACCAGAGCCTAGAGCTCAGCAGCCATGTTGGGGTCATGAGCGGAGTCCACAGCCTGTATTTTGGGTGGGAAACACCTGTATTCTTCCTGAAGTCATCAAGCCACCAAACCACTCTACTTACTTCAGGATCTTTTTTTAAACAAATAACAAATATCATGATTAAGCCACTATTAGTCAAGTTTTCTGTATATTCCTGCTGGAAGCAGTCCAGCAAATTACAGTCTGTTAAGTTTGCAAGCTTAGGAATTGTTCCTCATATATTCAATTTACAAAAGTCATAATTGTGTGCAGTAAAACAAAATGTTGAGCAATATATAATGACATTAAATAACAAATGAACACGCCTGTTATCCTCCAACTCCCACTACCCTCCTCTGAGGAAATCACTTTTATTTATTTAATTAAAAAATTCTTTCTTATGGAACTAATGGCCTATATTCATGGCAACAGGAAGTGGAGGGGATGAGGTACAATAGCTCCGGCTCCCAGGAAGTTTCAAAGGCCTGAAATCAAAGGTGATGCACTAGCACCGAGAGAGAAGCTTAGAAGCCTGCAGAGCTCAGGTATGCTAGGCTTCTTCCTGGGAGTATGGTGTCCTGAGGCTTGAGTAGCGAACCAGTGGACTGGAAGCCACTGGCACTAAAGACATGTCCCTTAGGGGGACGGGACTCTTTCCCTCTGCCAGTGCCCACCAAGAAAAGCAGGATCCTCAGGTCCAGAAATCACTTTTAATTGCTTCTGTTTTTAGTCCTTGATAGATAAGACAATAATTTAAAGGAATGGGCCTAGACTTCTATTCTTAATATGTTACTTAGATAGTAAGTATTGCCTCACCACTCTGAAAGATGAGGGAGTTATCTCCTTCAACTTCTGCTCCTTTCCCATATTTTGTGCATTTCCTCTATCAGTTGCACCTGTAGGTTTAAATCAATAAATATCACCCTAGAAAAGCAAATGCAGTTTTACATCACTAACTGTACAAAGGAGCATATTCTACGCATTGGATTGTTTCTTTTTACTCAAGTTCTTCAAAAGCACACCTCATTTTAGTTGCTCATATTTGTATATTAGTTTCTTAAACAACATTTTTTTTTCCATGTTAGATTGCCAGTTATTCTTGTTGAGACTGGAAACACAAATATTCTTTATATCATAAAGACATCATCTTCCTTTACCCCCATCACTATATGCATTTAAGGTATAGAATCTAATTGCATGACTTAATACATTGTGAAATGATTATCTTAAGTTTAGTTAATGTTCATCATCTCAGACCGATGCCAAAAAAATTTGTTTCCCTTGTGATGAAAACTCAGGATTTACTCTTTTAATAATTTTGAAATATACCATACAGCATTGTTAACTACGACCATGTTGTACATTGCATACCCAGTACTTATTTATCGTATGATTGGGAGATTGTACCTTTTTGCCACCTTCGCTCAGTTCCCCCCACTGCAGCCCCCACCCTCCCACAACCACAAATCTGATCTCTTTTTCTGTGAGTTTGTGTTTATTTATTTATTTTTAGATTGCACATATAAGTAAAATTAGCGGTCTTTCTTTCTCTGTCTTATTTTACTTAGTAGCATGCCCTTAAGGTCCATCCATGTTGTCACGAAAATGACAGAATTTCCTTATTTTGAATGGCTGAATAATGTGTGTGTGTGTGTGTGTGTGTGTGTGTGTGTTGTGTATCACCGATTCTTACCTGTTCATCCATCAGTGGACACTTAGGTTGTTTCCTTGGCTATTGTAAATGACACTGCCTTGGACATTCGGCTCTAGAAAGATACCAACTTCTTGGTCATATTATTTGTTGAATAGAATTCACTTTCTTAGAAGATATTATTCCCATGGGTGTCTTGACTTCCTGTTCTAATTTAGTCAACACATATTCCTGCAGAATTTTGAAAAGGTTTTTTTCCATATCTTAAGCAGTATTGGTGATGAGTTTTGATGCCAGTTTTATTTCAATTTTCTGTGACTTTTTCCTAGACTTTTTTTTAACACGCCCCCTCCCCACCTTTTTCTTTGGCATTCCATAAAGGTGGGTTTGGGAATAAACTTCTGTATATTTATTCCACTTAATATTTAATGTTAAATCTTAAGGATTTTTATTTTAGTTCTGAGAAATTTTCTTCTCTTAATTATTGCTTTAAAAAGTTAGCATCTAATTTACACACCATAAAATTCACCCTTTTAAAGTGTATAATTAATTTTTTTTGTATTCTCACCAAGTTGTACAGTTCTAGTTTCAGAACTTTTGCATTATCCCCAAAGGAAACCCATACCTATTATTAGTCATTCTCCACTCCTCTCTTTTCCTAACCCTTCCTAACTTCCGTTTCTATAGCTTTGTCTACTCTGGACATTTCATATAAATGGAATTATACAACATATGACCTTTTGTGACTGGTTTTTCTCACCGTAGTATTTTTATTTTTTTAATTTTTTTAATATTTTATTTTTTATTTTTTTTTATTTTAAAGATTTATTTATTTATTTATACAAGCACTGGGTACAGTCAGAAGCGCGGGAGGGTGAGAGAATTCACCAGAGCCAGAGCCGGGAGCAGAGCAGGCAGAAGGACTGAACTACACTGCTGAGGGGAGCAGCGGGTGGCAGGAGAGGTCTGCGCGCCATGTGGGACCCTCCTCCAGTGGCCGGGGAGCAGCCGGGGATCGAACCGGTGCTGCAGAGGTTGCGGGCAGCTTCGCAACCCAGCGCTCAACCGCTGCGCCACCAGGGAGGCCTTCACTGTAGTATTTTTAGATTCATCTGTTATGGTATGTATAAGTACTCCATTCCTTTATTTTGTCTGGATAATATTTCTATAAACAAACCACATTTTTGTTTTTATATTATGTTTATTGAGGTAATATTGTTTTGCAACACAATGTATATTTTTTAAGGGTGTAGATTGGCATCTCTACAATATATGATTTCACATCACACCCACTACAGAAGCACCAATAATCCTTCACCATAGTCCATTAAGGCCCCTTGCCTCTTGGCTACTCCATCCCACCCCCAGGCCCTTCTGGTAGTCTCAGTACTGCCCAGACTTTCTAATGTTTTTTTGGTTTTTTATTGACTGTTCCTTTACTTTGATTTTTTATACTCCACATATGAGTAAAATCATCCAGTATTTGTAGTTCTCCTTTTGACTTATTTCACTTAGTTTAATACCTTCAGTTCCATCCATGTGGCAGATGGCAAGATTTCATTTTTTTTTTTTTTTAAATAGCCAAGTAGCATTCCATTGTGCATGTATACTACATCCTCTTAATCTACTCATATGTCGTTGGATGCTTAGGTTTTTTCACAGCTTGGTATTATAAATAGTGCTGCAGTGAACAAAGGGGTGCATATATCCTTTTGAATTAGCTTTTGCATTCTGTGGGTAGAAAGCTTGGAGAGGGATTGTGGGATCACATGGTAGATCTATTTTTAATGTTTCGTGAAAACTCCGTACTGTTTTCCATAGAAGTTACATTCCTACCAATAGTATACAAGGGTTCCTTTTTTTCCCCATACCCTTGCCATACTTTTTTTTTTTTTTGTCTTATGATATGGCCATTCTCACAGGTGTGAGGTGATATCTCATTGTGGTTTTGATTTGCATTTCCCCGAAATAAGTAATGATGAACATGTTTTCATGGGTCTGTTGGCCATATGTATGTCTTCTTTGTAGAAGCAGCTATTTAGTTCTGCTGATATTTTGATTGGGTTATTTGTCTTCTTTTTGTTGAGTTGTATGAGTTCTTTGTAGATTTTGGATATTAGCTCCTTGTCAGATGTATGATGTGCAAAATTTTTCTCCCATTCTAGAGTGTCTTTTTGCAAACCATATTTTGTTTATTTGTTCATCAACTATTGTTTCTTTAATTATTTTATCCTGTGCAGTTTTCTTTTCCATTTCTTTCCTTTGGTACTTCTATTAGGTGGGAATAGGATTTCTTATAATTCTCTATGATTTTAACTTTGCTTTAATTTTTCTTTCTTTTTGTTCAAAATTTTAGCAAATTTCCTTCTTCAGCTCTTATACTACATGTAAAACATTTTTTTGCAACCACATTTTTGATTTCCAGGAACACTTGTTTTCTGATAGTTTCTTTTTAAGAAATTAAGAAGCCTCTTTGTTTAATTTCACTTTTTCTTTATATGATCTTTAGCTTAATTTTTTGAGCACTTATCTAGGTGTTGTAGGTTAATATTAGATATCCCCAAGCAGTCCTATTTAGGGAGAAGAGGGACATCTCCTCATAGCCCCAGCCATTGTTTTGTGAATTAAGTAAAATAAGACCCCTTGCAATATCTGGTATCTTATGTGTACTCAGTTTGTGGAATAGGACTTTCTGTCCCTTCTGCTTGTCAGTTAGCTTAATGTCTCTGCTAAGATGGAGCCAGCCTTTGCATTTGTCATTCCTCTATGCTGTTAGATAAATGAGCATACACTTCAGGACTGCTGTAGACCAGGTAGCTCTCAATAACTTTAATCTTTTTCCTTTCATGGTTTGGTTTCTTGTTTCTTTTTAAAGTACAGATTTATTGGGGTATATTTATGTACAGTAAAACTCATCCTCTAATGATGTTTACTTTGATGAATTTGATAAGTGTATATAGTCATGTTAGCACAACCACAATCAAGACAGAAAATAGTTTCATTAGCTGAGAATGATCCCCTGGGTTCCTTCTCAAAATTCTCATCATGGATTTGTATTTCTTTGAGTGTTAAGGATCAATACTATAGGTTATTGTCATGGGTCTTCATACTGTTGTAAGGGTCTCATTCTCTTATAAGCTCCTCTAGTGACCATCAGAGCTAGGGGTCTGACTATGGGATCTGTGGGTAGGAGGGGTGGGACACATTCTCCTTTAGGGCATGTGGGTGTGGAGTAGGAAGGCAGAAGTTCTGTAGCTCAAATTCTGATCTTTAATTGCTTGATGCAAGAGGATAGGAATGGTGTGGGTGGGACTACCTGGACCAGATAATTCATACATAGTCCTTTAATTACACTGATTACTGCCTTGCATCTTATTTTTTTTTTTTTAAGATTTATTTTTATTTTATTTATACAAGAACCGGGGCATAGGCCAGATTTGCAGGAGGGTGAGAGGATTCACCAGCGACAGAGCGGGGAACAGAACAGGAAGAACAGCTGAAATACACTGCCGAGGGGAGCAGCGGGCGCAACAGGAGAGGTCTGCTGCGCCATGTGTGATGCTCCACAGCCGGCTGGGATTTATTTGGCACTGCAGAGGCAGCAGACAGCTTCACAGTGCTGTGCTCAATCGCCTGCACCACCAGGGAGGCCACCATCTTATTTCTTTTTATGTTCTTCATCTATCTATAGTCTCTTAAGTTTCTTCCACACTAAATGGCTACAATTCTGCTGTAGCCTTCTGTGTATATTCTTGACTTCAGCTTCCTTCACTGTGTTTTATCCAGTGATATGGTCCTCTCCTCTTTCTTGTTAACAAAAGTAATTTGTTAAAATATATTTCTCCCTGATAGACTTCCTCCTAGTCACAATGGTGGCATGACTTTATCCCTGCTGTGTTTCTTTACTGTAAATGCCACATTTTTACAAGGGAATGGAAATAAATATGTGTGTGCTTTGTGTGCCAGGCTGAAGTGTAAGTCTTCAAGGACCAATTCATAGGAATCTATAGATATCCAAGAGGTCAGCAAATAGATT